ATTGACTATGAAAGAGAATTGTTAACCTCTAAGCCAAATGTGTTTTATCTGGCTGATGATCTTGAAAGACTCTACTTGTTACCTAAAACTCTTCAAGGCAAGTTGAGTAATCTCATCTCGAGCAAATATGCCATTATCGATTTTCTTAAAAAGTTGGAATTACATGATCAAAACATCGGACGTCTGGAATTTTCACCGTTCCCAGTTGATTTTTTATGCCAGTCATTTACAAATCAGAAAAGGAATGAAAAACAAGCTACATGACCTGATTGACATGGAAATCATAACTTAGATTTTGGATCCATTTGATGTACAGCTCTGCGATGTTGGGGCTGAAATTCTGGAAAGTCATAGAGCTTAAAAATGACACACTAGTAAGATCCAAATTCATACTGTATAAATGGGATTATTGCCTAGACTGATGTCTCAGACTGTGGGAAATAGCTTAAATATATTTCCTTACATTTTCATCCACATACATGGTTGCATGTGGATTCAGCAGACTGGTTTCTCTGAAAACAAGCAGAAACAGAGTGAATACCACAGCAAGAGGATATATTCGACTCCCGCTGTCAAGTCTGGAGGCGGACATAAGCAAGCTTGCTCCACGGCACCAGACTCAAGCCTCACATTAATACAGAGCGGCGCACGAAATGTCATAGCATCTGTTTATTTCATTACACACGTATTTAGCATCAAAATATTACAAAATTAGTGAAGAATTAATTGTATAGGAATGGAAATTTAGTTCGATGTAGTATGTGTTCAATGTGATCAGCGTTTTATTTCACAACCTCTTGCAAGCGAACCATTGCATTTGTCACCTTCCTGCAGAAGTCTTGCGAAATTAGACGGCATAAATGCATGATAAGAGTCCTGAGTTGAGCTGCACTTGCAGGTTTTCTTGCAAGACACTATCTTTCAAGTAGCCCCACAAGAAGAAATCACACGGATTGACGTCAGAGCTATGCGGGGGGCCACTGTCTCCCACCTAGGTGGCGCTCAAGTAACCGATGTGACATTAACCGCCCATCAAACATGTCATACAGGTAATCAAGAACAACAGTTACAGTGTGGGCGGGCTCCGTCTTGCAGGAGCCATTGAGGTTGTAATAGGAGAGCTGTTGCCAAGAGTTCTGGAATAAGTCTGTTTTCTAACATGTCTTGATGTCGATCCTTTTTCACCTGTTCAACATTCAATCTGCTTTTATGCGCCATGTTGAAAATTGTGTTTGGCGTCAATAACATATCCCATACTAACTTCTCGTGACATCTACCGGATTTCTCATAAACCAAAGTGTATGAATACGAGTTTTCAACATTACATCTATAATACGATATGTGTAATGAACAAAACAAGTGGAAGATAGCTGGTGCTATATCCCAGTTAGCATGCAAATTATGTAGCCCAGCCAATCTCCCCATGGCTCAGTGGCTTAAGCTGTTGGCTAGTTGGCATCCACCTCTAGTGGTCCTGGGTTCGATCGCCAGTAGGGGCCCGAGGAAATGCGCACCACTGACGAGCCCCAATAGGACGAAACGCGTCTGGTGTTTTCTCGGACTAGGCTGTGCTATGTAGCTTGTGAAATACTGGGACGAAAGCCTTAACAGACAACTGCCTTGATGTTGCCGAACAGTGAGCATTACCTTGAGGTCGTGAGAGTTAAAAAAATGGGGTTTATAAGGGAAAGAGCAGTGACACTAACATTAAATTCAGCCATCATAATAACAGAAACCAATATGAACACTTAGAATCACAGATTTGCGTCTGTTAGGCGTTGCGGATTGCTTAACTTGTGGTGAGCAAAGGGTAGGTGGGCCATAAGAAATGGAAAGGATCAAAAGGGGGCCACGGCTGAATAAAGGTTGAGAATGCCTGGTCCATGCGACAGATGGCTTGCTGATGTCGAACAGACCAACCGTTCCAGTAAATAGGCTACGTTGAAAGACGGTTTCAACACGTAAACGGATCCTATGCAGCTACCGTGTAGGGAATCTGGTGCGTACGCATCTTCGAATTAGACACAAAGGAATTACTAGCTCATACAAAACCGGAAGTAGAAGTATATCATAAATATATGCTCTGGATAGAAGTCATTCTTCTTTATTTGGTTTGTTCAATTATGTTACTATACTGCATGTTCTGTGGCAATTTTTCGTGTTTGCTTTCCCTGAAATTCTATGTTGGTTGTTTGCTATCCCCGTTGTGGCTGCGCTTGATGTGAGCGTTGACAAGGTGCCTCGTGGTCGTGTTAGGCTCAAAAAGTGGTTCCATGCATCCAGTGTAGAACGGAATAAGACTCAGCCACGTCTGGTACGCATGATTCCTTACATAGAGTTATACAATAATGCTGCTGCTGTGCATGTTGTAGGAGTGTGGCCCGGCTCCGTTGATGAAACGTGGCTCTCACCCACATTCCTCCCGATCTTATTCCTTCGAGTTTACACTGGCTACGGGGTGGGTGGATGGAGCTGAGCGGATTGTGCACAGCAAGTCACCCATGGTCCCTTTGTAGGCGCAGGCATACTGTGGTTGTCCTATGGAGGCCATAGTGACAGACAAATCCGGAACCGGATGTCGCCAATCATATGCACTGTTATGGTGAACATTGCATCCGCAGTAACATGGCATCAGAATGAACCTATTGCAATTATCAACGGTCGGTAAGCCTTCAGACAGCAATCACTTGTGTCCACACATTTCAGTGAGACAAGCTGTGAATAAATCTCTAATCTATCTGTAACCTGTCCAAGAGGATCCGTGTGCAAATCCCCAAGAATTCAGATACTTAGCTAGTTCATCTACTTAAGCCGACAGAATTAAAAAGAAAGGTATCAGCGTTACACCGGTACGTTGTACCGACACTTCGTTACCACACGACCACCACTAGTGGCGCGCTGGCTGGGGATGTTGTGAGGTTACATGTACCTACGCAAACATTGGTAGATTGAATCTGGGAAGTGGTTACGTGAGAAGAAGCGTTCTCATTTGTTGAAAAGCTCACTTCATAAGCAAAGGAGCGCGCTGTAGATGAAACAATATGTCGCGTTGCAGCTTTACTTGAACCGGACCGGATACGGTAAACCTATCAGGATTTTAACTCTGAACTTCGGTACCAGCTTCATTTTGAAGATAAAATAGACCGAAGCTTTTGTGAAATAAGGTGACTATGCCATGCGCGACGTTGATTTAAGCTTGCCGGTCGCTAAACATGGAAATGTCCTAATACGAATAAGAGCCGGTTATAGGGGGCTAATTCAGTAAATTGGCCTTAAATAGAGGACTGTAGAAATATAGCTGGATAGCATGTCTAGGGTCTTCTTACAATTCACATGGAATCAACAGGAGACGTTATTCTCTGATCGATCCAGTACGGTAAACTGCGCTCGTCTAAGTCTACCGGCCTCGACATTTCGGTGTGCCAAGTAGATCAGAGATTGTGGGTAAAAATGGTATCTGCTAGGCTTGATCATACAGATCCGTATGGGGAGCGTAGTGTTCACACCAAAACCTATAGTATCCCAGGTGAATGAGAGAAAAGTTTCCCCCCTATCGCTGTTACTGGATTAATAGCTTATTGTACGGGAAGGCCTATGGCACGAGGTGCCAAGCCTTGAGGCACTGTGGTATATCAGGCCACTTTTCAGCACTATGTATCTATACGAAATGACCAAGGTGCCTGAACACCAGTAGGTCAAGAGAAGGTAATTTCTGACTGACAAGGCCTATATCTGTTGAAAATTCGAGAGAACCGGACTACTAATTAAGCCAGTCGTGCAACCAGGTGATGGTTCATACCGTGGAAACAACTTTCAACGCCAGTCGTATGACTCACATTCCGATAAGGGACAACATGTTACCACAAAAGTAGAAGGTTTAACTAGTCTACATTCGGGTTACAGTTAAACGTGTTGGGAAATTTGAAAGAAAGTAATATTAAGCAACTAGTTGGGATTTTGCTGGACTAACTATCATACAACTACAGAACATCCACACAGGAAGGCAACAGCAGTACGAACGCGCATTGAACGGACGCTTCGCTGTCACCGACAGCGCGCGGACTGGGGGTAATGTGAGGCAGCCGCATTGGTGTTATTCCCCTGTTACACAACCCAAATCCCTGGACTGTGACATGCGTGATCAAAGCAAAGGCGCACATGTTGTTAAAGGACCACAAAGTTGTTTTCAAATTTCACATGACCATTTTAGTAATCTTTCGCTCTACAATAGCGTCGATTCACTGTGGGTTTTAATGGACGTTATCGGACTTCATTCCCATCCACATCTTATTCCTTCGGGTTTACACTGGATGTAGGGTGTGGTTGCAGCTGTGGGTTGTGCAGCGCATGCCACCCATGGTCGCTCTGTAGTCACAGACGTCGTGTGGCTGGCCATAGTGACAGGCAAATCCGAAACCGGGTGCCGCCAACCATATCGCACTTAATTCGGTAGGAATCCTCGTGTTAGAACAGAGGGCAGTACCGCCTGCGTCTAGGCAAATTGGAACAGGGGACAGTAGGAATATAAGCCAGACGTCTTACTCAAACCAGCCGCTGGCCAACAGAAGACTACAACCCATCAACCGCTAAACACAGACAGATCAAAACGGATGTAGGCACTCAGGGATTCATTTCATAAGCTAAACCACTGACCACGGGTTATGTACCAGTTGTAGAGATGTGCGCACAGAAAAGGCGGGCTGCAAGTCTAAAACGGCGGTATCCGATTAAACGGACTGGCAGAGAGATGCTCAGACCCGCTGAGAATGAATATTAGAAAACCACTTTGACGGCTACACGTTGCACAGCATGAACTTACTGTGAATGTACTTATGGACAACATCACGGTCAACTCAGTCTCGCCTTAACTTCGAACAATCTGACAGTACGGAACGCGGGTAGTGGGATGTACGAAGTTGTGTTCCGCATTCATATGGAAGTATACTGACAAATATATAACATGAATCACCCCAAGAATATACTTCAATGTAATTACTCACTTCTGGCGTTGTCAGGGAGGCGCTTTAAGAAGTGATCCACAACTCCAATGTAATCATCGGTCGTGATTTGGAAAACCTTGAACCCGGCTTCCAGTAAAAAATTACCGATACTTTGCTGCTGAAACACTCCAACCAGGGCAGTGTGTCCGACGCCTTCCCCATGCTGGCGCTGATTTCGGGCTGAATACAGGCCAATAGGTGTCGACTTGTTCGCTGTCCACCCGTATTGCCTCAAAGTTGAATTGATGACCCAAGGTAGATCGGAGTAGGTGAAGAACACGCGTGTTAAGGTGGAGTACTCAACCTTGTCTCTTAGTTGGTGAGCAAAACCTCCCGGTGTAACAATCGGAACGTTGTACATAGAGCTGCTAAAGCGAGCAGCATTTGCTATACTGAAGTCATTTAGAGGCCCAAGAAGAACATTAATTTCCTGGTTATCCAATTTAGCCAAAAGGGCCAATGAATCACAAGCAATGGAGCTTAGGTGCAAGATGGGCACAGTCGTGAAAGTCACGCCGCTGTAGGAAGAAGAGTTTTGAATCTCTTCTAGTGCTATGTCGACGGCTGGTAGGACCTGAGCAAAGTTTTCTGGTCCCAATGCGTCTAGCTGCAGTCCGATAAAGACTTCCTGAACACTTGCGTAGTTTTTACCTTTCGGTTGAGAGCGAGCTAGAGTAGCCCGGTTTTCATTGATCTTTCTGGTAGAATTAAGTATGCCATCAAATGCACTGTACAGTTCTGGCAAAGAGTGAGTCCTTTCTGGCATTTCAGGACTTTCAGGTGGCCGACAAACCCCAACAGAAAATGAGGTACACGAGCCAGCAGAGAGACAGAGAACAAAAACTACACAACCGAATGGGATGCAAGATGTAATTTGTGAATGAATGGATTGGTAACATCCAAGCATAGCATCCAAGGTGTCACACAGCGCCCGCACAAATTCCTAGCTAAAATCCAACCAGCAGGAACGGCTTGTGTTGAAGATGCTTCGAAATGATGGAGTAGCGAGCCCTAATTCATCCCGCGCCCCTACGGGAACGCAGCGGCCGGCAGCCGTAGATGCATAAACTGCATCGTTTATTCGCAGTGCAATTGGTCCTTTTCAAGGTCATCACATGAAATCAGTCCACTAACAGGCCACCAATAGAGTTGAAGGCTGGAGAGGGCCAATGCGAGCACAACTGGTTAAATGTATTGACAGTTTCCTGATTGGCTGTTCTGTTTGGCTGATTCGAGTGTGACTGGTCCGAGTGCAGGTGCATGCCGCAATCCGTTCTACAACATTGTTCCAGGGTTCAGCTCGGTGAGGGAAACGCTGCTCCACACGTACATCGCCGTAGCCTACACAGCCCTCTGAGATAGCTGGTGCATGTTTACGCCAAGATCGGGACGCGATTCATTACATTCTCTTCAGTAAAATTAATGGGCCAAATAACAGTCGGCGATGCTACAGTATGGTCGCTACAGAGCCCACTTATGCTGTTGATGCGAACTTTGTCAAACCGAATGCACTAATCTTCCTCTGCCATCCTTCTGTTGCTCGTCGATTGCATTTCCACTACTGGGTCTCCGTCAGTACCAGCAGCTTTGGTTGGCAAATTATTTAGCTGTCTCGAAGGTGTAAGAAAACGCTCTTGGATTTTAGAATGCCACCAGTCGAAGAATCAACTAAACTGCTTGCTTTATTGTAACCGGCTTTTTCTTGATTATCGTTGATACTGAAGAATGATTAACGTCGGTGCATACAAAGCTACATGTTGGGCTAAAGGAGTTATATTTGGGTCTTTTGACCACAGGGGCTAGTCTTGAAATTGACCATCGCTTAGTCAGCAGAGGGTATCGCAAAGGCAATTGGTACCCAAATCATTGCCTACATGGTGTAGAATAGTCCGTCTTATCTGCCCTCTAGTCATTACTTTGTGATAGGGGAGCACTCGCATTGCTCATGAGTAGCACCCAACAGGTTAGTACTCTTAAGCTGGTTGCGCATTTCGCACAGGCTCCCCACCAACAAATGTGTATTTTGAGTAAGCGCATTTTGTACGTATATCAATCACACCGTGCAATCAATTCCATTTGATCTCAAATTCTATAGCTGGGAAAGTCTAAACCTCGGTTCCAAATATGTTCCAAGATATTGAGAAACTCTAAACCTATTTACGGGGAAAATAACAATGTGGACTTTTATTTTGTGTACCAACAATGTTTGCTAAGGGCATTTGCCAGGAAGTATTTTCAACTGGGCTCTTTTGCTGAAGGTTTGAAACAATGGCGTACTCTTCAGTGTTGGGTTCTAGAATCTCCGCCATGCGCATAGATTGTGACACACAGTTTCAGGCCACAGTTTATCTTGAAGCAAACCCGTTATAACGCGTCATAGTTGTTTCCACTCTTTGTCGGAACAGACGAACGCTCTCCAGATGTAGTACGCTGAGTGAGCAGAGTAGCCGATCGAATTCTGAACGTTGCGGGGTTAACGTGACCTAGCCACCAGACGTACACGTGTGATAAGACTGCAGACGAAAACGCATAACATTGCACGAGTGCGCTGAAACCCAGCGAGAAAGACTGGCCATTAGCAAGCGCACTTTTACTAAATCAGCCAAGGCGAAGCGTACCTTCTACATCTTCATATTTGTAGCCCAATAGAATAGCAGCGTATTACATAGACTATGGAGGAATGTGGATGTTGGTAATGTGGGCTCCTGGACACGAAGAAACTGTCCTGTTTGTAAACGAATGCTCAGGATCTTCAATAAACTGGCCGAACTGAAGCGCGCTAAGCTTCCGGGTCACATGATGTCATTGGTATCACCGAGACATGGTTGTACACGGGAATGACAGGCGCTGAAGTTTCGCTACCGGGCATGTCGCTGATCCGGAACGACAGGCTCACAAAAGAAGGGGTAATCCTGTATTACCGAAGCGACTTACAGTGCGAAGCCGTGGAGGATTCAGACTCGCAGTTCCCCGACTCTTTTTGGTGCCGATTGCAGTTAAAAGGCAGGGACGCTTGCCTTATTGTCTTGGTATACCGCGCCCCTAACTCAAGACCAGAAACCGATTGCCACCTAGTGACTGCTTTAAGATACAGTTTACGACGGAAGTACACTCACATACTTATCATGGGTGATTTCAACTTACATTGTGCAGAAACTCCTGCCACGATCGAGGAACAATTCAAGGCCGATTCACAAGATCTCGCAACCACTGGTCCTCTTTACAAGCATATCACTTTACCCACTCGGTTCAGAACTGGTAACAGGCCATCTGTGCTGGCTCTTGTGCTTACCAACGAGGAGCATATGATTGATGTGTTGGTGTTAGACTTCCCGTTGGGTCGCAATAATCACGCAGTCATCAGTTTCAACTTCGTTTGCTATGCAGAATATCGAAATGAGAACGATGAGACTGTGCGAACCATCGCAAACTATGATCGATTAACCCAGCTCCCCAGCGCCACAATTTGGTCGTTTCTTGACGAAGGACCCCCGGAAGTCGCCTGCCGCGTGTTCGTCAACAAATTCAGTCAGCTGATTGCAAGGGATTCAGAGATAAGAGTTTGCAAAAACCGTACATCAGTTTCTTTCGTTAGGAACAGAACTCCAAAATGGATGACAGCATTCAACGCAGCATGGCGAGTGTACTGAAAAGTTCCAGCACCAGAAACTTGGAACAACAACGTAGGCCAACGTAACCACTGCACACAACTGCTAAGAGAAGACAAGGCCGCTATCAGCAGAACATCGCAAAAAGCTTCAGTACTAACCACAAACTGCTGTACAAGCATGTCAATAGCCTAAGAAAGGCGAGGCAAGGACTTCCTTTACTCATGACGACTGATGGTCCAAAAAGAACGGCTGTGGAAGCAGCAAACGCGCTGCGGATGCAATATACTTCCACGTTTCAATGGTCTTGCCATCAAGCGACATACCAAGCTTTGTCATCCCCTCGCCAGGACTAACTCACATCACTTTTACCGCGGAGACTGTACTGCAAATCTGACTTCTCTTCGCAAAATTGCTCGCCGAGTGTCGACACCATTCATCCAGAGGCACTGGAAGCAGCAGCAAGCCAACTGGCAGGATCTTTAGCTCAGTTTTTCCAGCGCTGCCTAGACCAGAATCAAGTTCCCGCTATGTGGAAGCTTGGAATAATAACCCGGATACAAAAAGGTGGAAGCAGAACTGATTCCTCCAACTATCGCCCAGTATCCCTTTTCTCTATGCTCTCCAAAGTCATGGAATCCATACTTGCTGGCGCCTTGGTGTTCTAGCTGGAAAACTAACATCATCACGCCTGAGCATCACGGTTTCCTTTGACAGCGGTCAGGTACAACGAATTTACTAATCGCACGCAGTAGTTGGACCGAGGCAGCTGACACTGGAGCAAGCGTTGCTGTGATCTACCTGGATTTTTCAAAGGCTTTCGATCCTCTAAACCATCGGATACTACTATCCAAGCTCCAGTATTACGGGATCGGCGACCCTCTTTTAAACTAGAGTGACGACCTGCCATTTCACCGGCAATTAGTGGGCAGAGTTCAGAGCTCTTTTGCGGACCCTATACAAGTCGAGTATGATGTGTCGCAAGGCTCAGTTCTGGGTCCACGTTTGGTTTTGTGTTTATTAATGGCCTTACACAGGAAATCACTTCAAACTTCCTAATGTATGCCGACAATATCAAGATCTGGCGCAGGATCCAGGCGAATGCCGACCAACATCCGCTTCAGAGTGATTAGATACGGTGTATCAATGGTCAACCCAAAACTTACTGCAATTCAACGTCAGTACATGCAAGGTGCTTTCCATGCGATATCAGAGCAGCTACTCATACCGACTCGGAGCGGATATATTACAACGATCAACTCTCGAACGTGACTTGGGTATCCTGGTTCTAGATGACTTGAGTCGCTCCAGCCAATGGGAAAAGGCCTCGAAGACTGGGAACCAACACGTCGGGGTGTTGAGGCGGGCGTTTGGACAAATAAACAGTTACATATTTCGACAAATGCTCAGTGCGTATGTTCGTCCCCCCATGGCGAATACGCAATTCAAGTCTGGCATCCATGGCTGAAACACGACCTTAATGCACTGGAGCAACCACAATGTCGGGCATCCAGAAAGCGATTGGAATGCACAATCTCTCATACCAAGAGTGGCTGCAACGATTGGGGGTATTCATTGGAAGTTATCGCAAACTACAAACGATCTGATTATGACATACTTGGTTCTGCGAGACCCGCATCATATGTTCTTCCCTTTACTGCGACTCAGCACAAATACAAGTCTGAGGGGACACTCATTGAAATTCTCTGCACATTATAGCCGACTGGAGGGTCGCGGAACTTTCTTTTCCACTCGTCTGTCCTCCGTGGAATGCTCTCCCAAAATCGGTCGTCTCTGCACCAATACTAACAGTAGTTAAAAGACGGTTGGATGATGCACTCCTCCACTTACACCTTGTCACTTAGCACTATGTCTCCATCCTACACCTGGAGTATACCATGGAATTATTTGGTGTTAACTGTGGGTGCGGATCGCAGAACTACAGCGGAGCAAACGATAAGTCCCTATTTCCATATTTAAAGTACTAACTGTTTTACTACCACGATTATCATTATTGTTATATCGATATGCCCACCAACTATCCAACGGGACTTGTAAAGCAACGCTTCTTAACCCGTATAAATTCATTATTCATTGTTCATTGATACCCAGTGGTAGTGTTCTGAGGGAAACGCAGTGTCAGTGTGGATGTGTGCAGTAACTGCCGCAGTGGGATGAGGAGAGTTCAGATGGTTCATTTTGGCTTGACACAACAGATACACGAGTGTCATGAGCAGAGTTCAGCGGCTTCACTGGGGTTTCACCTCAATGTCTTGGGGACGGCACAGTTGTTAATTATGCAGTCTGGGTCGCCGCATGATGATACTGTATACTGAGAGTAGAGAGCGAGAAGATAAAAAAAACTGTGTTGCTCCAGCGTAGGTGGATCGGGCACATGCGCGGAATCACGTCTCTGATTCCTGCGTGGTAGCAACGTATTGCAGCTTTACTACATCTTATCCGGATACGATACGCTCCCTATACCTGTAGTCCGCAAAGTAAGTGTCAAAGAATCTCTTA